ACAGGGAATGTGGCACCAAAAGGGAGTTGGGGAGCGTTTGGGGAACATCTGTAACGGTCCCCGTTACAATTAGCACTAGTTTGAATTAATTTTCCATGATGCCTAGTAACTACAAGATAATTATAAGCCATCAGCTACCTATATGTTCGAGTCACAAAAAATTATTTGGGGTCCTGTTACACATTACTAAATGTCTAGCGATAAAAAAAGATAGCAGAGTTTTTGTCCGTAACCTCACCCCCACTCCCTTCCCAGGGGAGGGGGTTTCTTTGGGCAGGAACTCAAAATTTATCTTTTGTTTTTAGTTTTTTTTTTTATCCGTATGTATGTATATTCATGTTCATGTAATATGGATATGTAAATATTTAGTTCATTTGTTGTTTTTTTTATTTTGAAAATTCGAAAAATATTCAATTTACGGCTAAAAAACAAACAATTGTCAAACATATTTAATTTACTGTATAAGTAACCCAAACATTTAAACTGCTACCATCACCATTCCATAAGTGTTTTCATGACATCTTTCTCAGATAAGGACTGCATGAATCGAAATGTTCAAATGTTCGTTTACAAACAATTGACAACCATGGAAGGAAATGGACAGCAACTAGTCACCTGACCTAAAAACCCTTCAACAAAAACACGTTACATGTTAGCTGCAATAATGTAGCCCTTTCCGATTTTTTTATCTGATATTTTCTGTGAACAATCACAATATACAATGTACCTTTAGAACGGTAACTTAAAGCTTGAAAAAAAAAATGAAATCTGACAAAATATTTTATTTATCTTATAATTAGAAAAAGGGGCAACATTTTTCAAGTCAGTTTATTTATTGTCTTGCAAATCGAGAACAAATTTTATATATATCATTTATCTGCAAGCCCCCAGGATGAAAAAAAAAATCAAAATATAAAGCCACTTTTTTTTGGGTTGAGATTTTTGGAAATTTTGGAGATTTTACCTCAAGTATACTTAAATAAATGTAAAATGAAATAGCAAAGAAGAAACCTTATACATGTATGTTTGTTTGTATGTTGTTTATCATCCCTCTCAAGAATTTTTCATTCATATATGGAGACGCCACCACTTGCCGGTGGAGAGATGCAAATTTTGTCCAATGCTCGGCCTAAGGGCTATTGAGCAAGGAGGGATCTTGTTCGTGACAGCACCTACTGCGACATGGGACCTCGGTTTATACGGTCTCATCCGAAGGACCGGTCTCCACGCCCCACAATCACAATTTTATAATTGAGAATTAATTTTTCACCTTCATACATATACAGGTATGTTGCAGCATAGGCATTTCTTTCGCCCATCTTCTTTACCGGTAACATGTGCAAAGTATATTTAACCCAAACTTTGACCATAAATAAATACAAATTTTAGAGTCACTGCTCCAAATATATGATTAATAAAAATTCAACATAAAAATCAAAGGCCTGAAGGGCCTGCGAGTTGACTCGCTTGAGTCAATTGAGCTTTTTCATACATCTGGGCACCATACCTTACTATATTCAGTTTATTTTGCATCTTAAGAGATTGAATATTACATGTCTGATCCATGTTCGGTTCATAAATAAAGTGTATATTGCTTTTCCTTTATATATACAGGTTGGCACTAAAGGCCTTCCGTATTATTTTGACTGGATTCTTTAATGAATTTAAGCACATTAGCTGAAGTGGTCAGTGTCATGGAATAATTAGGTTAAAGATTCCCACAGCAAATCTGGATTCTAAAAATAGATTTTCAACAACAACTAGCTGCAGCTAATGCGAGCAGCAGGTGTTTGTGTTAGGGAGTATTCTAGGTCAATTATAAATAAACTTCAGATGGGAAGATCCAACTAACATGCTTGAACATATATTCATACGCAGTAATTGCATGTACATCGTACTACAGATATTAAATCAAAAATTTCTTTAAAAGCATGAAGGCATAAATAATGTTACAGTATGAAATTTTATACAGTTTTTACCTCTTAAGTTTATACAATCACTCAAACAAAAGCATTTTTTGCTAGAACTATTATGTTTGGATCACCTTGATGAATGTGTGAGAAATTTTACAGCTCTGAAACGGCTGTGTCAACAGGGAGTAGCTTGCTACGCAAGCCAACTCAAAAATCAAAACATAATTTTTTTAAAACAACAGTTGGTTTATTTCTGACAAATAATTCAGTCTCTATGACATAAACCTGCATTATGAATTTACAAACAGATGCCTCAAATGAATGATGACAAGATGTTTTGTAACAGCACCATATATTTGACAGCCCCCTCACATACCCCTCAAAAAAGGCGGTACTTTTAAGTTACTCTATTACTCAACTGCACTGTACATATACAGAAAATATTTATGCTTATAATAAAGTGCTATGGACAGATGATTTTGCTTTGCTTTAAACGTAATTTGTTATGTTCACAATAGCTTCAAAATGTGTTGAACCCAGGGGGGGGGGGAATGAAAATCATTTCGCTGTAAGAGTGTTTGCTATAAGTGTGTTTTACAGTACATGTATTTGCTTTGCTCTAGCATTGCAAATCTTTGCATTTTTTAATGCAAATGATAGAATTTTATTTTACTATAATTTTAAGTTTGAAACAAAAATTATATTCATACAAGGTAATCATCAAAATGCATTAATGTTGATTCAAAAGTCAATCAATGTCAATATCATAAAAACTTTATATGTAATTGCACACTGACTTATGATGTTATGCCAGAGATCTTAAAGCTGAACGCTTCTCATAAATAGGCACTGTCAGACGGGTATATAAACCGTTCGATGTCGTTACACCCGAACTGCACACTCGAAACTCGTGGCCGACATTTAGTACTCCTTTTATAGTCTTAGATTTTTTGCACTCATTTCTTGTTTTTATGTGCATTTTCTGTTTGAAAATAACGTATTGACCTGTATTTTCCATGATACTTTTGTCCTGTTCTGGAAAAAATTACGTTAAATTTGGTAATTTCAGCAAGACCTAGTAGCACGGCTGTGTAAGATGTACGTCTACACTCGTCGGATCTCTACAGCAAAATACATTGAACTGATAAGCGATCTGCTCCTTATATATGGGTTGTAGGGAGAGCGTTGAAGAACGGGAAATATGGCGGACTATGTCCTATTTACGAGTAGTGTTCAGCTTTAAGCAGAATAAATTAACCTGACCTTCAGCATTGTTAACAAGTACTTGGGGTCAAATGTGAAGGTCATTTATGGATAATATTGTAGAACAATACATCCAGTCAAAATTAACTTGCTAAGAAAATGGTACAATGTAGCGATATGGTCTGAACATGGTTGTTTAAAAAGAACAAGAATAGACGGTAAAACAAATTGTCTCTAGAAAATGAAAGGGAGAAATGAAAACAATTTACAGCCCTAATATAAATAATTCTGTTTCACAGTCACAATCTAAATACAAGTACACAGTACACAAAAATTAAATCTAGAATTCCATATATGGATTTTCGTGTACTGTTTGAAAAACTGGCCATAAGCATTTATTGACTGAATGAAATAAAGATACAAATTTTTTGCATCAGCTGAAACATTAATAATGTGTTTTACTGTCAAATATTGCACTTTTTAAAATCATACTGTAGATTGGCAAATAATCACGATGGTTTTAATTTTGGTATGTTCGCGATTCATCATTTTTCAGCAAAATTAAACCCATCGTGAATTCTATTAAGAGTTCTTAGAAACATTTAGATGCTTATACAAAATTTGAATTGATTTCTTGCAGCGTGAAATTAAAACCATCGCAACTGGTACTTTTTGAGATATCATGAAATTTTAACACAGTGGAATTAAAACAACTTACAGTATTGCAGATCAGTATTTATCTGTGTTAACACTATAATTAATGCTGTTATATGTACTTACTAGACCCCCCCCCCCCTGTAAAAAAATAAAATTGAATAGAGATTCAAATATTACAATTCTTTAAAGACAATAACCTTACCATGCAAACTCTTAATAACAATCAAATCCATAATTCATAATCACTCAATAGAAGAAAAAAGAAAAAAAAATCAATCAGTCACATTATCTTACAAAATACTTCTACAACGTGACATGGCTAACCAGTTTACAAAAAAAAAAAAAAAATCATCTTTAAGACTATAATGACATTCAAACTCTCTCATACAGTTCATCCAAAAACACTGCTAGTCACACAGCTTCCACACATTTGCCGAATTATTTCTAACACATTTCACAGTAACAGGCAATAAACACAACTGACATGAACAAAAAGAGTCAACCCTTACACCATAAATACAGATCATGCACCGTTGTGTAGGCTTTTCAATGTTCTCTCACTTTTACTCAGCACTGTAAATTTTTTTTCTCTCTATTTTTCTGGTCTTTGTTATTCTCGATGAATCAACACAAACAGTCCCAGGCAGGCTAGAATGGCATACTGCAATGTAAAAAGAGGAATTATAATTTATTTTACAAAACAAACACAAAAATCCTTTTCCAATTTAATGTTAAAAAAATTACATTATATTTTATAAATAATTTTTTACATTGATATATCAGAGTATAAATGAAAATCTTACTTTAAACTTTGGATAGTCATTCATCAGTATAGTCACTATACCAACGTAAGGAACAAATCTGTAATGAAAATCACCAACCATATACATCTATTAAATATAGTATTTAATACTGGAAATTCATCACATTTTTCCATATACAACTTGTATAAGAGTTATCTTTCTTGAATGTTCTACCTATCAGTCTTATTCTGAAATTCCTCAATCATGTTAATGAGAGTGAAAGATTTTAATTAATACACAACGCAAAAACACAATGCACAATCTTTACATGTAAACTATGAACTTTGTGTTATTTTTTCTAGCTTGACTTTTTTTGTGAATGGGTACATGTAGGTAGGTTTTAAAGCCGCTTAATCCGAAACAGGCACATATTATCTTGCACAATAAAAGTACGTCATTACATAGATAATATATAAAAATAAATTATAAGATTGATTTTATAGTTTATTACAACAATCCTTACATGGAAAACATAGATCAAAAACCTTATTAACAAACAGAAGTTCCTGACAGGAAGTTAAGATCTGTTGTGTAGTCACCTTTGAAAAAAATAAATTTATCGGTTTTATCTAATTATGAAGATAATTTAAACTCGAGTATTTTTTTCCATTAGTACAAGCCTAAGTCATTGAATATATTCCATAGTAATTCTTAAATTGATATGCATATTTAAAGAATAAAGGAAAATCGGATATTTATTTTAAAGGGAAAGAACTATATGCGGTATATTGCATATGTTTGCCCCCACAAAAGTCAAATTTTGAAAACTTCCTGAAATGTGCTGAATTCAATAAATTGTACGAGAAATATAAGTTAACAGAAAATATTATAGTTCCAGAGCAGTGTATTCACAATTTCTGTTTTTATGACGTCACAAACTAGTCCGATTTTATATCCTTTTTCAGAAAGAGGACAAAATGGACAAAATTTCAACAATTTAAGCTTTAAAATTTATAGAGCGCATGTGTGTTCAGGAACAATATTGACATATTTCATTGATATTATCATTCTACACATTATATCAAAATATTTATCCTGAACACACATGCGCTCGGTGACTTTTATTTAAAATATCGACGAAATATGTACATTTTTCTGCAAAATTCATAAAAAACTGAAATTTACGTCATATTTGTGACGTCATTATGTACATATGACGTCATTACTTATGAAATTATTCAGTGCTTTGAAGTCAGCATATACTCCCCTGTTTAAGGACTTAATTAAATATTACTCCATCAAAGTTTGATTTTGGGGGGCAAATGTTGGTTAATACCGCATATAGTTCTTTAGTAAACGAAGGCTAAAATATTCATTGTCCGTGTACTTTGTTGAGAAAAAAAATGCTTGGGTTCGTTCTTCATGAGACATACATGTAAGCGATAAATTTAATTTTTCGTATGTGATTTCACGCGATATCAACAGGATTATTTTTTGTGTGACCTAACAAAAATTATTTTTTTAACTTTTGAATTTTGATATCTTTTGAAAGAAAAAGACTTTGGGGATATAATTTGACAAAAAGTGAAACAATTTATGGACAATTATTTTTCAAGAAGAAAAACGAATATATTTTTTAGCGATTAGAATCGGACCAAGCGGCTTTAAAAAGATGGACACTAAACAGAGAAAATAAAACTTTAATTGACCTAATCAACTTACCCTCTGGCTCGACCGACTACATCTTTTTTCTCCAACCAAAGCTGTCCAGGGGCATACAACCCTCGGTCATCCACTGAATTATTATCTCCCTTAGTTAGGAATTTAACTTTTCCATCTTCTCTGCAAAATGTAAATCATAACTTTTCAATGTTTGATTTCTTAAGATTTCCTACAGATTACCCATTTGTGATACTCTACAAAAATAATAATACCTTCTGGATATAAAACTAAGATTAGAAAAGATTTTCTATCTCTTTCCTTAAATAGTAGTTTCTCACAAACGTATAAATAAAAACAATTGTTATATACATGCACAATATTTCTAATGAAGAGAAAACAAATTAAGTAGTGACTTATTTAATTTCAAAACTTTACAAAGTCATAAAAAAAGAGTTCTTACAAAATAATGAAGACAATTAAGATTTCCAATGAGGATACAAAACAATTAAAGTTTGGTTTTATCCCATTTTTCAAAAATTAAAACCTACTTTTCATGGACTTTGAGCACTCTGTGGACAATTGGAATATCCCGTCCCTCTATTTTGAAGACAACAATTTCTCCCACTCTGATTGGCTCCTCTCTGTAGTTTGTCAGGAAAAGTAGGTCACCACGGAAAAATGCTGGCTCCATACTGCCGCTGTATTCAATGAAAGAATTTTTTTTTTATTATATATAGTATATTATATACTCATCTTCTAAAACCTGATATGTCAATACAATGTGAACTATAATTTAGGATCCAAATTCCCTTAAGCTCAATATCTCAAATGAGTGAATGTCTCTTCCTCTCTTTTGAATATTGATTTCCAAAAAAGGCCAATCTTAAAATAATGTTCATTTGCCCGCTCCTGACTCAGGATGAATAAAAAAAAAAGGGTTGGTCGGTAGGGGAAAAATTTTTTTCCAAAAAAATTTCAATTTCAATGCTGAATTTTCAAAATCTATTTTCCAGAGATTGCATGGAAAAATTACTTCCTGGAGCAGAGTTCCCCCTGAGAATTGAAATAGAGGGGAATATTGAAAAAAAGTAGAAGGGGATCTGGGTTCCTCCCCTAATGAAAAGTTTAGGAAGAAAACAAAAATAACTGGGGGATTACTTCATTATATGTTGGGAAATTCCCCAGCCACCCCTGAGCTCCAGATAAGGTGCATATTTGCAGAAACATGCATCGAATTTTACAAAATATGCACTGAAAAATTAAAACTGAGCATACAATTATGCATTAGCAATCGTATCTAAGCATTAGACCATGAAAGTACTGCATACGAAGGGTTGAAATATACAAGTTCGAATTAGCTAATGATATGAATTGAGGTTAGCTCAGTGTCTGGTTTTTTTCAAAACAATAAACTGATTCTAATGCTTTTCATAATCAGGAACAGTAATCTAGTAATGGCGACACCAATTTCATATTTGGACAGAGAATAAAAGCTTTAGATGAAAATTGCATTTTTTATTTAGAAAGACTTTGCACTTATATGCATAGTTACTTTTAAGTACACAAAAGCGTGTGTCACTTATGTTAAGACGATATTGTAACATACAAGCGATCATTAGTGTTCTCTGTTTAGTAGGACATTTACAATAAAAAAGTTTCTCAGTTTTAGCAAAAAGTCTTATTGATATTTTTAAATTTTATTGAAATAAAATTAATGCTGCAGGAACTGTTCTTTTTAGTTTTTTTGTTTTCCTTTCCTTTTCTAAAATACTTATATTTCCACAATAAAAACAGATGGCAAAACAAATGTATTAACAAAATTTTCTGAAATCATTTTGCCTAGAATCAAAATCTGCATTCAATTTGATTTTAAAATCAGGGAATAAATACACTTTGTGGTAAAAAGTTATCTAGAGCTCTGAACCTGGGTCTTAGGGTCAATCTGGAGGTCAAAAGTGTTTCGAGCCCATTGGCAACCAGAGAGAAAGCAATCAAACATTTTTAGCTCACCTGAGCCGAAGGCTCAAGTGAGCTTTTCTGATCACATTTTGTCCGGCGTCCGTCTGTCTGTAGCTGTCCGTCTGTCTGTAAACTTTTCACATTTTCGACTTCTTCTCAAGAACCGCTGGGCCAATTTCAACCAAACTTGCCACAAAGTATCCTTGGGTGAAGGGGATTCAAGTTTGTTCAAATGAAGGGCCACACCCTTATTCAAGGGGAGATAATTGGGAATTAATGAAAATTTAGTGGTATATTTTAAAAATCTTCTTTTCAAGAACCACTGTGCCAGGAAAGATGAAACTTATGGGGAAACATCCTCAGGTAGTGTAGATTCAAGTTTGTTCAAATCATGACCCCCGGGGGTAGGGCGGGGCCAAAATGGCCGACCAAAGTTTTACATAGAAATATATAGGAAAATTCTTTAAAGATCTTCTTCTCAAGAATGACAAAGCCATAATTCATCATATTTATATGGGAGCATGCTCATGTTGTGTAGATTCAAGTTTGTTCAAATCATGACCCCTCGGGTAAGGGCGGGGCCAACATGGCCGACCAAAGTTTTACATAGAAATATATAGGAAAATTCTTTAAAAATCTTCTTCTCAAGAATGACAAAGCCATAATTCATCATATATATATATGGAAGCATGCTCAGGTAGTGTAGATTCAAGTTTGTTCAAATCATGACCCCCAGGGGTAGGGTGGGGCCAAAATGGCCGACCAAAGTTTCACATAGAAATATATAGCAGACCTGTTTACCCATATCGTTGTTTCTCAGTAATTTTGATGAAATTTGTCCGTGAGATTTCGCATTTGCCAGTGAGATTACATTTTTCATTGATTTTACATATATTTATGGAGAAAGACTGTTTCTCCGATTACTAAGTCGCCGGCGTGGCTGAGTGGTTAGAGCGTCTGCTCTAGACCCGCGAAGTAAAGACTTTATCTTTAAATCGATGGTTGGAATCCCATAGTGGGACATGGAGGCCAGTCCTTCGGATGAGATCGTATAATCCGAGGTCCCGTGTCGCAGTAGGTGCTGGCACGAAAAAGATTCAACCCCACTCCATGGCACGAGTAGAGAACAACATTTGCACTTCTCCACTGGCAAGTGGTGGCGTCTCCATATGAATGAAAGATTCTCTAGAGGGACGTTAAACTACGTACAATCAATCAATCAATCTGATTACTAAAACGAACGTTACGAAAACTAACTGCGAAATTTCGAACAAATGTATTTTTCCGATTTCCGTATTTTCATGACTTCAAATCGTGAGACGTATTTTGTACTTTAAATCCGTATAAACTGCGGCGAAATCGTAAGAGTAAACAGGTCTGATATAGGGAAATTCTTTAAAAATCTTCTTCTCAAGAATTACAAAGCCATAATTCATCATATTTATATGGAAACATGCTCAGGTAGTGTAGATTCAAGTTTGTTCAAATCATGACCCCGGGGGGTAGGGCGGGGCCAAAATGGCCGACCAATGTTTTACATAGAAATATATAGGAAAATTCTTTAAAAATCTTCTTCTCAAGAATGACAAAGCCATAATTCATCATATTTATATGGAAGCATGCTCAGGTAGTGTAGATTCAAGTTTGTTCAAATCATGACCCCCGGGGGTAGGGCCGGGCCAAAATGGCCGACCAAAGTTTTACATAGAAATATATAGGAAAATTCTTTAAAAATCTTCTTCTCAAGAATGACGAAGCCATAATTCATCATATTTATATGGAAGCATGCTCAGGTAGTGTAGATTCAAGTTTGTTCAAATCATGACCCCGGGGGGTAGGGCGGGGCCAAAATGGCCGACCAATGTTTTACATAGAAATATATAGGAAAATTCTTTAAAAATCTTCTTCTCAAGAATGACAAAGCCATAATTCATCATATATATTTGGAAGCATGCTCAGGTAGTGTAGATTCAAGTTTGTTCAAATCATGACCCCCGGGGGTAGGGCGGGGCCAAAATGGCCGATCAAGGTTTTACATAGAGATATATAGGAAAATTCTTTAAAAATCTTCTTCTCAAGAATGACAAAGCCATTATTCATCATATATATATGGAAGCATGTTCAGGTAGTGTAGATTCAATTTTGTTCAAATCATGACCCCCGGGGGTAGGGCGGGGCCAAAATGGCCGACCAAATTTTTACATAGAAATATATAGGAAAATTCTTTAAAAATCTTCTCAATCATTTTCTAAAAAATAGCAAATCCAAGATTGGTCATGGGACTACTTTTGGATTTAAACTTTACAATAAAAAGCCATTTTATACTAGTCCTACCCTTGGTGCTCATGTGAGCGATGTGGCCCATGGGCCTCTTGTTTTAAGATGGCATTAAGAAATTTTGAATGTTTGATTTTTACAAATCATACAACTTATTACCTGAGAACAACCACAATGGGACTCTCGCTACCAGTAACCACCATTAATCCTTTCCATATCATCAGAGCAGAGGATACAATCATTCCAAAGTTCAGAACTTGATAGTACAGCTGTAAAAAAAAAAAACCCAATCCATTATCATGTTAACCAGAACTGGTCTTCTTTAAGCTGTTGTATGTAACCCCAAAACTTTCAGAAATTTTACTGCAATTGCAATCAGCCATCCTCGGCCGACTCTGCTATGCTCCGTTCAAACTTAGGATATGATTGGTAGAGGAATATGCATCAGGTTGAAACATTTCATGCCAGCAACTGCCTAAAGTAAACACTCAATTAATTCATATCTCACTCTGCATAAAGTTATTCGATAAGGTTTTTTAACTTGTCTATTTTCTTCATTGTTATAGGGTTTTGATTACAACCTTGCATTAGTAGGCTTTGAAAGCAAGAACAAAGTGTTGGGAGTGCCAGAAAGTAACTCAGATTTCATATGTATCAGGGTTCTCATTAAGTGCCGGCGACCGGCGATTTCACCGTCTACTTATTTAGTTATACACTGGCGCCGGTTATTTCACTTTCAAAAATCAGTAAAGAAAATCTGTGCTTCAGAAGAGAATTTTGGTTATCCCGTTTGTCTTGTTCAATAAAAAATGTAAACATATAAAATCATTGTTATTTGACGCTTTCCTTGTAAGATTACGACCCCCTATTTTTAAAAACGTAGTGATGATACAGGAATCGCGATCGAAACACGGGCGATAACTCGAAGTGCATCTACCACAAAGATTCCAGAGAGTTCCGAAAGCAATCATGGCGTGTCAGAAAAAAGATACGTTGAGAATATTAGTTGAATTAACGTCTTTATTTGGATTATAATTTAGGTTTAAAGGCATACGCAACCTCAAAAAAATTTGTTGCAATTAATTTTGAAGTTATTTCCAGTGAAAATCCCTTTGTATACTTAAAATGCGTTTCGGAACGATTCTGTGGTGAGGGCTGGTCCCGAGACACAGTAAGATTATTCTAACTACCGATAGAAATAGAGGCGCATCACTATTTTCTAACAAAGAATTGTAAGGGTGACTTCTGTATGGATTTCAATGATACTTGCATATTTTTTTTATAATTGTGAAAATACAGCGTACATATATCTAGTTAATAAGCTGCAGACACTCTGACTTTTTAGTATCCCATACATCTAAACAATGTAAACGTTTTCAATCAAACAACTGCTACAAAAAAGCAACACTTTTTTTTTTTGAAAAATCTTTATTCACAGCATACATGTATTACAAAAATCAAGGAAGGTTAGATCATCATAGGCTGTGTGCTACTCCTGTAATTTTCTTTTTGTTTTAGCAAAATGGGTTCCTAAAAAGTGTCATTTTGAGAACAAATGAAACAAGTCAAAATATGCCCAGATAGGTCCCAGAAGGCACCTCCTGCAATGTAAGAATTAAAAATTCCCCCCACTTGACGAAAGGGGGGAAGCCCCCCTCTCGGACTCACCCCCCCTCGGCCGTTGGCCCTCGGTTCGGGCCTTCGACCCTCAAGTATGAAGTGCCCCCTACTTTTTCTTTTTCTCCACCTACTGTAGAAAATAATGAGAACCCTGATGTATGACATTTGAAAGAAATTCAAATAAGATCAAATGACTGTTGACATCCCAGGTTATGAGCAAGAAATGAGCCATCGGAAGAACTCTGAGTGCTGAAATTGCACAAAAGAGACACATTTTCAAGAATTATTTTTTTCATGAATTGTTTTCAGATGAGGTTTTAAGTTGAAAATTATCACTGCATCAATAGGCGATTTTTGGCTCATCCTGAGAAAAATGTTAAATCAAGCAATAAGTCTGATTTGGTAGGTAAATAAAGGTACTTCAGGTAGATAAATAAAGTTATGTAGATAATTTAGTTTACGTAGCTAAATCTAGTGATTGTACGGTACCAGACCTGACAGTTTTTCACCTAACCATGCTAACCGGCGACCATATGTTCAGGTTTCCCATGGAAAAACCTCTGTTAAATTGATTAATTTTAACTCTAACATAGAATTCCAAAAGAAATTGGTATTTCAAAGCAACTGTGATGTTGCTTATGGCAGAAATACAATCAAGTTCTTTGCATGAATCTCCTTATGCTTTCAAAATCATTACCAAGGAAATTCGAACTGCCACATTTCTTATCGAAATTTCTCAACATGAGCGAAATTATTTGCAGCCAGCACATAGTAAAATCAATCCTACATCAAAAATTGTGTTTCCATCTTACCTGTCTTGGGTTCATCCGCCGTACATCGTCAAGAAAATCAAAATCAAGCAACCCCATTGTGGATTTCTTGCTTTCCAGTCGCCACTAAACAGGAAGCTGACTGGAACTCTCACGAGATTTCAACACAATCTCAGGTTGAATAATCAAAGGACTGTTAGTACTTATTGTTCGGATTTAGTCCATGAACGGAACATGTATCGGAGGTTCTATCTCTTTTGTAGGGCAAATTAATTATGTTTGACAAAGTTTTAGTTGATATATAGATAATTAAATGATAAACAATTGTTCTTATGGCATAATTCATTTAAATACACCATGTTATAAATAATATTATTTTGTAACAGTCGACTATAGTATAATACTGAGGTCGATATGAAAAAGAAAAAAAGACTGACAAGAACAATGATTTTAGATGCTGTGCAATTATAAAACTGTTACAATTTTTTTTCATTAAAAAATTGTGTTTCCAGAAATTTCTCATGTTAAGAAATTAAATAAATATAGGATCTCCCATGATTTGTAGTTAGGTATGATTTTTGATTGTGTGTAATTTTTCCCCCGAGATTTGGCCAAGGGATCAGTAAAACCAAACAACGAGTTGGATGATACAAATGATGTAAGATTATTTTATCCCATGTTTAATTAAATCTACATATATAGGACTCTAGGTCATCGGTGGATGGATGTTAGCTGCTTTTCGTCATGAGCTAACGTTTTCTAGTCTGGACATTTTTAGTTACTTTACTATATACTCATGCTTGTACATTTCATTTCTCAGAAAGTTCGGGGAAGGACGGCCCCTTCGCAATCGGAACATCACTCGGCTTTTTCCGTCAAGTTGAGAAAAAAAAAAACTCCGGGGTTTTTTCTCGACTTGACGGAAAAGGTCGAGTGATGTTCCGATTGGGCCCCTTCCCACACCTATCTAGATCCGCACAGATATTTGCATATTGTTTGTATTTTATTTCTGTGAGATCGATCACTGTTTATAATGTTTTTTTCTTCTCATTTGGTTAAATCATACATAGGAATCGAAACCGAGGGGACGGGGGGGGGGGGGCTTAGCTCCCCCCCATCTTTTTTGCCAAAATAGTCATTATATAGGCATTGAAGATTGGGATTTACCTTTTTTGTTGGTTAACCCCCCCCCCCCCCCCCCCCCCCACTTTCGATTACCCCCCCCCCCCCAATTTCAATTTGCTTCCGAAGCCCATGTCATATGTATGAATTTTATTTTTCACGACATGTATGAAAAGTCCTTTAGGTTCGGTGTAATTTTCCTTTTCTGAAAAAACAAAAAGGT